ATATGAAGGCACTTGGCCCGGCTCCCACTGCGGCTCTCGGAAACCCTGATTCTCCAGTGGACTCTTGTGGAAAAACAAAAGGAAAAGGTATCAGGAGGCTGTAACTCAAGCCCAGCACTCAGTGCCGTGCCAGTAAGGATTCCAAGAGGGGTGAGACATGAGTCACTGTGCGATGGAAAGGTCAGCAGAACAACACACAATACGCAACTGCACAGCACGAGTCACAGTGTGTGAACTGGAATTACTAGGATTATGTGCGCAACATTAGACCTTGTTGGAGTTTAGTAAGATAATTGTTTTGTTCTTCATGAGGCTGAGAAGGTTTCTTCAGCCTGATTTGAGTTCAGAATCTGTATGTTTCATATGCAGCACTCTTTCTAAGCAGAGAGTGGGTCAGTTAATATCTAGTTAAAATTCAGAAAAAAAGGAGCACTGATTTGATTCGTTAAGACCCAGATTCCACGTATTTCAATGTATTGCCTTATACATTACTGAGGTACATTACTGAAAGCAGGCAAAGCCAGGCAGCACTGTGACAGTCTTCTCAAGTGCTCCCCCCCCCCAGCAGATACCAGGAGCTACATGCCAGCAGGGGTTGGAGGAGGGGTGTGGGAACCAGACTGGGGGATGCCACAAGGCCGGAAATAGCTCAGCTAGCACATCCACCCAACTTTAACTCTACTTTGATGCTGAAAATAATTGTGGTTTCCAGCTTAGCTGAGATCATACTTCTGCAGGTGGAGCTCCAGATACGGAGCATCTGCATTCCAGTGGCGCTTGAAGAAATCAGAAAGGGCATGATGGTTCCCATTGCCAAACTGGTGCCAAAGGAAGTACTTGCAATCCCACCTGCATTTTATTATGGTTTATTCACTGAAATTTGCAGTGGGAGGGAGATCAGCGTGTCAGCCAGCCAATCAAGTGATCATGTGCTACATTTCCACATGGGTCATACATAGAAAAAATAAATAACTTTGTTTCATATTTATGAGGTCACACTTATGAGCAGTGAAAATTATATTAAAGTAAAAATGAATGAGGAGCTTTTAATGTAGTTTTACTTTGGGTCTCATACTTTTATGGGATCTGCTATAGGATTGTGTTTTTAGGGCAAATAACAATATTAAAATTTTAGGTTGATAATGAAATTAGGAAACACACACGATGGTAGTTAATTGTATTATTGCCTATCGCATAAAGCCCTATACTGTATTTTAACTTCTCTTGATGGAATGATGGAAAATATGCCCATAAATGCCCATACATTGCAGAAGAGCCACTGGCATTTTACAGACCTTTGCAAACATCAGGAAGAAGGCAGGTTACTGGGGGCAGTGAGGGAAATTCGCCAAATTTGGGAAGATTATTTCGGTAACATTGCTGAAATTCCTCTTTGGGGAATCTGGCTTTCACACAACTCTTAGAGACCAAATAAGACCTTCAACTTTGCCAGAATTTAGAACAAATTAAATAACTGTCATGTTTCATTCCGGTTTGACATGAAAAGTAATTATGTACATATAATCATTTTCTCAGAGTTGGCTGAATGGAAAAGAACATAAGCTGAATGATTTGTTTGTCAGCACAGAAGCCTTTTTAAGCTCTGACTTTCACCATAAATGGATATCACACATTTATAATAAAAATCTTGCTTATGCTTCTAAAAATGCATCCACATTAACCATATTTACTACTAGAATTGATACATGAGTTTCTTAGTAATACTCTCAAAATGCTCTGGAAAGCATACTGAGTAAGCCTGTCACCACTGAATTTAGGGGGGTGCAGGCCTTTGGGTTAAAGTTATTGTTGTGGCCCAACCTACAGCCTAAAAAAACTGAAAACAAAATTTGTGGGACCCTGCAGATTGGAACCTGGGGCTACAGACCAAGTTAGCCAAGTTAACTGTAGATAAGTCTAGCCATGCTTACAGTACTGTCATACAGTACTCATACACAGAAACATTAGCAATTGGACTCAAACCCACAACCCACATCCTTAAGATCACTGTGCATAAGTCTAGCCATGCTTACAGTACTGTCAGACAGTACTCACACGCAGAAACATTAGCAATTGGACTCAAACCAACAACCCACATCATTAAGATCAATGTGCATAAGTCTAGCCATGCTTAGACAGTACTCACACGCAGAAACATCAGCAATTGGACTCAAACCCACAACCCACAAGACTATGAGGCAACAGTGCTATTGATTCATATTGCACAAATAAATATTGAGGCCTGGCTGTAGATACAGTATTACAAATGTATTTTCATATAGGTTTTCATTAAGCAATCCTTAGGGTAGAAAACTTCAGACTTTGAAAGCTTAATTAGGCTGAAAGAATTAAGCCCTAACTCGGAAAGCTGAAAAATATAGCTACACTTCTTCTAAACAGCCATCTACATCCTTAAGTTACTTTCTTCATAAATGCCATGTGAATTTTGTTAAATGGAATGAGACTGTGCAAGACAGCAAGCAAAACTACGTAATACAGAGAATAAGTCAACCAATTCACAAGTACAGGCCATTTAATATTCTTCATCAATGTAAATGTAATACCCTTTATCATTTAGCTAATTAACATGGTATTTACTTTTATAACAGTAGTTCTCAATCCTGTTCCTGGCACCTCCCCCCCTAGAATGTTTTCATTCCAACCCACACTGCTTTCAACCTGCCATACTCATTATTAGCCTATTAACCATATAAACCTGATTAAGGTAGAGTTGGAATGGACACATTCTTGCAGGGGTGGCGCCACAAACACTATTGAGAACCACTGTATTTATAAGGATCCAAAGCACAACTAGCGTGACTGTGGTATCTGTGCATTCTGAGGTATATGAGTACACTCAGTTTTATTCTAACCAATGACTATGATGCAATGGTTACAGTTTGTAGCTAATTATTCATCTTACTTATGCCATACTTAATGCATTCTCTCTAAACTGATGCAGTAAGAAATGGTATGTCTTAAGTTCAGCTCACAAATAGCTGCAATCATCAGGTGATCTTTATCATAAAATGTTTAGAAAAAAGTGATTGGACAAACTGAATAATCAAGAGAAGAAATGAGAACATAAAGACGACATTATAATGGCCCCTGGGGAGCTGGAGACCCCTTTGCAATTTCCCTGGCATTTGTCCATATTTACCATGGTTACCTTTCTGTTATTATAGTAAACCTAACTTCACCCTTATTTCCAAAAATCAAGCTTCCAAACAATACTTTTCAACAGGTTATATGAGAACTGTTTAAATACAGCATATGACTCAAGTTTAATCCTGCATTGACCAAAATATTATTGTTTGTTTGTTTGTGTCACTGTTTGTTTAGGTTTTGCAATAGAGACAGGATACATCCTGAAGCAGCCTATTTCAAGAAACCCATGACATAACACGGGGTGTCTTTCTGGAATGAAGAAGGAAAATGGTGCACCTGTGCAAAAAGGTTAGTGAACCACTCTGCTGCTACAGAGAAGATGAAGAAGAGAAAGAAAATGAGGAAGAAGGGAAGACGAGAGAGAAGGAGAAGAAGGATCTAATAACGTTCATAATGTCTCTATTTTTAAAGCATCATGCTTCCTTGTGTTTCTTTCTGTACCTGTAATATTTCACCAAGGCAATATTGGGGTGGTGCATAATAATGATTTAACTTTATTGGTCAATGATTGGGTAAAGCCAGAAATGTGGGTCTTGTTTTACTGAGAAGGTAATTTCCACTGGATCTGAATGGACAGTATTTTATATAAAATGGTCATAAATTAAGGTCATGCTATGGTAAGAGAATGCAGGAACTAACTTATCAAATGGAGGCAGTTATATAGCGTTTTCTCACATACTAGTATTAAAACACATCAGTGTAGATTGAGTAGTGCGTGACAGTCTTTGCCTGTATACGAACTCATCACATGCTGGCACCAGATCAGATTAGCATAGGCCTATAAGGAGAACAATAAACTATGACACAGGTTTGCCCATAAACCTTTGCTTCCAAGGACAGTGCTTCCTCTGTAGTGAGTGCTGTGTGCTATAGCTCCAGGCAAGATTTTCATTTAAGAACCCCCCCCCCCCACATGCTCTCGATGTCCCTATCTCTGTAAGATGATGGAGGCAACGCATATTTCAAAATATTCAAATGTTTGCCAAATAGTATATCGTTTAAAGTAAAATCTACCAGTCATTTGCTATGCCGCCATTCTCATAAAGAATGTGGCACAAAGGCTGGTCACTGTAAGAAAGAGGGAGTCAAACCACGAGTGGCATTTAGCAGTTAGCTTTGTTGCCTCGCACTTTTTGGGACCTGGGTTCAAATCTTTAAGCTAATTAGGATAAAATAAAACAAGGATGGTTCCGCTGTGTCGTCATGGGATTTCCTCTGGGTTCTCCAGTCCTGCTCAACCCGGTCCAAAAACATGCAAAGGAAAATTGGAATTGCCATAATTCCGTGTGTGCACTGCCATGGGTCAGTGCCCCCATGCTTATTCCCCCACAACCTTGCATCAGAGAAGCAAGTACAGGAAATAGGTGGATGGATAGAACTATGCATTCCATTATAAAATGCAGTGTTTTAAGTTTAGTTAATTGACGAAACATAATTCGGTCAAAAAACACACGAAAACAAATGCCTTCTTACCAAATCAGAATTCTGAGATAAATGTGTTTTTTTTCTCCTCCAGGTGGCGAAAACGGGCTTCCATAATTTTGAGACAAACGATAGGACTTTCAGCACATGCTACCTTGCGGATGAGATAAAAGATTTATGGTGGTCGTGCAGAATGTTTTAATACAGTACTAAGTTTTTAAGATTAGGGGACTTGGCGCATCGTCTAAATAGGCGCAAAGTGTAGACCGATGAACCATGGTTTAATATAATGCTACACGTACAATATGCATGAATAAATATAGGCAGATAGAAACAAAGGTCTGACAGTTTCAAAGCTGTGATAACCTGCAGTCCCTCCTCCGTTAAACGTCACGGCACTGGTATAAAATAAAAGGGTAAAAGCGCCTGGAGCCCGAGTCCGAGGCATGTGGCGTTCGCCAAGGGAGAGAAAGTGGTCACCAGCAGCGGGCGATAAGAAAGAGAAAGGAAAAGGCAGCTTTGCGGACCAAGAGGAGACTATAGACGGCGAGGGACGACGTAGAAATGTGAAATGTCAGGGAGCTTGGTGAGGGTTATGAAGGAAGCAGCGTTAACAAAGTTTAATGCGGAGCGGCTATAAGGATGAAGACGAATGTGCTCGGGATACATAGACGGATTGCACAAAAAGGTCACTTTTTCTAATTAAAAATTGAAATAGAAAATGGGCTTTGTTGGAAAACGATTTACCAAATTGAATTAAAAGAAGAGACTAATTTAAAGTTAATAAACGTATAGTTTATATTCTGTTTTCCACTTAATTTTCCCACACCAAGAAGTTTCTTTAGATGGAAGCGCGTTAGTGTCAATCATTGTGAGATTAGTCACCACTGGGGAAACATGCATCTGGGCAAAGCGATCTTCCTTTTACTACTCCTGAACTCCGTGACCATGACCTTCTCGCTGTCCACTTGCGCCACCGTGGACATAGACCACGTTAAGAAGAAGAGAGTGGAGGCAATCAGGGGACAGATTCTGAGCAAGCTGCGGCTGACCAGCCCGCCGCAGCCCCTCGATCCGAGCCAGGTCTCCCTCCAAGTGCTGGCGCTATATAACAGCACGCGAGACCTGCTGGAGGAGCTAGGCAGGGACCGGCAGCAGAGCTGCGGCCAGGACAACACGGAGACTGAGTACTATGCCAAGGAGATATACAGATTCAACATGATTCACGGGCTGCAGGATACTAGTAAGTATATATACATATATTTATTTTTTGTTATTTTTGTCTCCCCCCCCGCCCCACATACTGTACACACACAGACGCACACACACACACACACCTTCAAATAAAACCTTCTCGCCACAGTAAAAATATTGTGTAATGTTTTCAGAATCGTCACCCTCTCTATCACGATCGGTAAGAGATGGCTAATGATTTTCCGAGCGATCTGGGCACTTTACCCAATGTGTCGCTCGGATGCCTGCTTGATCGCTTTGGAAACGGAGGGATAAGGTAACAGAGAAGGGTTACAGTGTGGGGACGGGCTTGTCGATCAAAACATCCGGACCACTCGCAGCTGCTTACTAAAGTATGATATGAACATGCAGGCGGTACAAATATGAAATAGAACAAGCTAAAGCTTTCTTAAGTGATGAATGAAAACAGTTGCGGTACATTATAATCACAATAATAATGATGATGATGATGATAATAATAATAAACCATAGTAAGAAATATTTACACAATTATTTATTTTCTCTTGGATCTCTCTTGTTCTTTTTAGTCTTTTAGTCAGTCGTTTTTAGTTTGTTACACAAGTTAATCTGACAAAATCTTTTCTTCTCCAAGTATTACCACTCTTCAGCGCTCAAAGGCTGTACTGTAGGCTGGCATTTCAGTTTAGTAAAGGCACTAAGTTGCTCTTCCAGAGATTAGCATTAGGAAATTGAACACAGTTGTGGGGTTATATATAAACTGCGTTTTGGCTTAACAAAGGACAAAATGATGCAGCTGACACCTGAGCTGACTGCGGGGGAGGGGTGATATTCTCCAAACTTGACCACTCCACTCCTATTGTTAGGTTATTCTATCATGAGTCATTTTGTTCCTCCCTTTTTCAACAAATCCAGCCCCTCTTTCCAGATGTCCAAGTTTTCCAGAAAATCAAGCCCAGACAGTGTGAGTCGTAGATTCCCTGGATGGGAGCATGAGACGGGCAGGAAATGTTAAAACCTTGGTCTGGTGGCAGCCCCCCCCCCCGCACCCCATCGGTGAGCAGGTCTTGCCAGCAGACAGCAAGCTCGGAATGGAAGCTCAGCCCTGTCACTGCACAAAGCTGGGGGGGCAGCTGCTGGAGGCCAACCAGTGGCTGGAGTTTGGAGGCCAGTCAGTGTGGAAACTAGAGCCTCCCAATCCATTTCATAGCCAGTGACATTGCAGCCTCAGGATTGCTGTTCTAGGTTAAAACAGGTTGAATAACTTATGGAGTTACAGTCGCTCCTCAGGTCTTAATACAGGGCTATCAGTTTGTAAGAAACACTTCAAATGTTCCACTATGGAATATTTATTTATGTCTAGTTAATGTAGGCCTATATAAGAAAAGATATTTATGAAGAACAGACATTCTAGCTTCTTAGCACCTAAACCCACTGCTGACTGTAGCTGGTGACAGAGGATGTAAATGCGATCCCCTCTGTCTCTGCCATGAAGCTATATTCATGCCACATGCGTGTTGGACCGTGTTCTTCTCTGTGGCAACTACACACTGCGGACATGGTCCATTATGGGCTCAGAAAACAGATCATACATTATAATATTATTTAGTATAAGGAGGAGAGATCAAGCCAGATCCAAATCTGTGACGCAGCACCTCCACATGCCCGTAAAACAGAAGTGGCTTCTTTATTTCTTCGTTATCTTTCTCCCTCAGCCTGTCACTAATAAGCTGCTTGACCTTGGGACAGTAGTCACATCACCTGAAGCCTCCATATCCATTTAGTCATTCATATCCCTCTGCCATGCCTCAGAGCTCTGTCACCGTGGCGATCGTCTCATGCATATTTTCATTTCGCAATGCGTTTTGTATGCTTAGCTCTTTGAATTGGGCCAGTGTCTGGATTGTTCTCTGGGCTTGAGGCTTTTTCATTCTCTCTGTCTGGCTGGACAGCAGGTCTTCGCTTGCTTCAGCAGAATCAAGCTGAGGCGAGATTCTCTGGGATTGTTTGAAAGATTTGGGGCCTCACCAGTTTATTTAAAAAAGGGCTTTTTTATCGTTGAAGTCAGATAGTTCCTTAGGTATTATTATTATTATTAGTAGTAGTAGTAGTAGTATTTGTAGTAGTATTGTGACATATTATTTTATACCTACTGTATGCATATTGCAATGGCAACATGTCCTGTTTGGGATGTGTAACTTCCTATCTTCGGATCCTCAGACCCCACACCCTGTTCACATGGTGCCATCTGCTAGTCTTGTGTACCTATTATTTCAAGTGCATAACTCCCTATGAGCTAAGACATTGGATAATAATGTGGACTCCCGGCCTAGATCTGTTATAGTACCACAGCCATGTTTGGGTGGAGCACTGTCACTAATAATAAGTTAAAAAAAAAGTCCAAGCGATCAACATTGCCCAATATTACTGTGTGTGCATAATCATCTCCAGCTTAGTCCCAATGGGAAGTGGCTCGATTCACTTGGCATTTGTCAGTGTACAATAATGCGAAGGACTGGTGGCTTGTTGGCCTCATTTCTTTCATCAGTAGCTGTCACATCAGCAGGTTGGTGCCCAGCTTCAGCTGGCTCCTGCTCTGCTTAGCGCTTTTCACCTGAGTACTTCAGCTTCCTCTCAGATATTCAGAATATCTAGCTACTGAAGCAGCCTGCTTGTGGGAATACACCTGTGTTTGTGCCCCACCCAGAGTGTTCCTGCAGCCCCCGAGCACCACAGGAGAGGCTCCCAATCATGAAAATCCTTATTACGCAAAGAGTGACTCAAAGCAGAGGGATCACGTGATCTTCAGTCTCACATTTACTTCTTAAGTCTCTCCTCAGAGCTCATCTTTTATTAGAATGAAGGCACTTGTGTTTTTGTTTTAATCCTGCACTGCATTAATGTCAGAGACCTAATAGCTTGGGGTGTCACCAGAAAAATAATGTCCCCATGGAGTAAGTGGACACTGCCCGATGGAAATGTGTCCAGCTGCCACTGCCACTGTAACTGAGTCCAACACAAAGTAAAGAAAACTGAGCTGGCTTTCATAAGCCATTCTTGTATACAGAACACTATGCAATTGCATCACGGAGCGCATGTGCTACATTTGTTGCCCATTGTAAATTTACATTGTTTTCGTTTGTAGATGTTCTAGTGATTAGACTCCTGCAGGTCCCATTCCAACTGGGAATATACTGGAGAATTTCAGGTTCAAGCCCAATCCTTAGACCCTGAAATAACCTAAATGATGTCCAACCCATAAAAACTCTGAAAGCATTAACTAAAATTGTGAGAGAGTTAATTTGAACAGAGACCGAGATCTGAACTCTCACAGTTCAATCGATTGTGATGCATATGAAGGAGAGGCACTCTGAATATATTTGGCTGAGAACTCAGACAAAATGATTTGTATTTTCCCTGGACAAAGGAATGTGGGTGACCAGACAGGGAGGAAATGTTAGCAGCTCAGACTGATGGCAGGAGCTCACCATCAGATCCCAGATTCTGGGCCGTAGGAGGGTTCAGCCAGAACCCAGGGCTGGAGGTGTCATCGTTTCTCACTCCGGAAGAGAGAGCAAGGTGTAACATTCAGACTAGAGCCTCACATGCAGGGAGCAGGCCGGGAGCAACTGGAATGCCGTGCTGAAGCCAGAAGCTCCCAGTCAGGTAGCCAGCAGCTCCCAGTCAGGTAACCAGCAGCTCCCAGTCAGGTAGCCAGCAGCTCCCAGTCAGGCACAAGGCGGTGAGAGAAAGCTACCTACTCTCTGGTGATGCCGATGCCTTTGGTGACCATTCTGCTTTAGAACTTCCCAAGAATGTACACACTACTTACAGGTGCAAACAAAGCAGACTTGGACAAAAGAGATGGGAGTCTTATTTCTAAAACCATTAAGTAATGGTTCAGTATGTTTGGAAAACAGCGGTCGGTGTCTGGGGCAGGACTGGGGGCAGGACTGAGGGCAGGGCTGGGGGCAGGACTGGGGGCAGGGCTGGGGGCAGGACTGGGGGCAGGACTGGGGGCAGGGCTGGGGGCAGGACTGGGGGCAGGGCTTGTATTTGGGAGAGCTGCTGATAAATGGATCAGCCGTAAAACGATGTCACCCTGAAACAATCTGCAAGTATCCCTTTTCTGATTTCTTTTCTTCCGCTATGAGGTTGTCATATAAACCACTTCTGTGTTATATTCCTGATTGGCAGATTCAGAAGGGGTTCTCTTATCTTCTGCCATTGCGTGCCCCTGTGTCTCTCTGACTGGAATCTAACTGGCAGTCCATTAGGGAAACTTTCATTTCTTTCCACACAGGCTACCCAGATACTCGTTCAGTCCCTCGTCATCTCCCGCCTTGACTACTGCAACTCGCTCCTAGCGGGTTTACTACTGAGCGTCATTCGTCCCCTCCAACTGATTCAGAATGCAGCTGCTCGGCTTGTTTTCAACCTTCCCAAGTTCTCCCACACCACTCCTTTGCTGCGCTCACTACACTGGCTTCCTGTGGCTGCCCGCATCAGATTCAAAACACTGATGCTCGCATACAAAGCCAAAAATGATCTGGCTCCATCCTACCTAAAAGACCTCATCACACCCCGCACTGCACCACGATCTCTCTGATCTTCCAGCACTGCTCGACTGGTCCCACCACCCCTCAAGGCACAAGGAAGACACATCTCCCGGCTCTTCTCTGTTCTGGCACCAAGTTGGTGGAATGAACTCCCCCTAGATGTCCGAACAGCTGAGTCACTGAATGTCTTCAAAAGACGACTTAAAACACACCTTTTCCAGAAATACCTGAATTAGCACTTCTGGCATTATACTTTCTGGCATTCCTTTAAAAAAAAAAAAAACACTTTTCCAACAGAGTATTAGATGGATGGTATTCATAGCCTTGGTTTTATTGAGCTAGTATCGGGAAAAATTCATTGTAGAGTCTTAAAGCACTTATGTAAGTCGCTCTGGCTAAGGGCGTCTGCCAAATGCTGTAAATGTAAATGGAAACTAAATACTGATTTTTATAAGTAATTTTGACTAACTTTGTAGCGGTGCATGGCTCAGTCGGCTAAGCCTCTGTACTTGTCCTCAGTAAGTCACTGGTTTGAGCCTCAACAGAATAGTCACATGTCTGTGGACCCTTGGGCGAGGCCCTTAACCCCCAGGTCTGGAGGTGCCATAGGCTGGCTGACCTGGTGCTGTGACCCCCCACCCCCAAAGTGTGCTCTTACCTGCACATGTTTCACACTGAGAGCAACATGGGGTAGGAGAAAAGAGAATCTCTCCACAGGGATTAATACAACATATTTCTATTCTATCTATGCACAATGGCCTGAAAATGAAGTAAGCGTGTTACACAGTACATATTTTGTAGTGAGTAATCTACAATATGAAGCGTAGTTGTGAACTTTCTGTAAGGATAGATAACGGTGTTCCTGAAGTCAAAGCTTTTGCAGTTTGAGGAGTTCATATCAGTTACCCCATTTCATGCTTTTTAATCTCAAGCATAAATGCTGTGAAAGGAAGGAGTTTGCAAGGCAGACCCTGTCCCACAGACCATAGGGACAAACGTGGTCTGGTTTGTTTGTGTATCACCACTGAGGTTGATGTTGTACTACAATAGCCTCTGTAATGATGAGACTGAGAAAGTAACTGAGATTGCTGGGAAGCCAGACAGCTTTTCCAGAAAATTCCAGAAGACTCTTTTTCCATGCATACTTAGATAATGCAGCCTCCACTTATGGAGAATTATGAAGATAAGTACAGAAACTGTGAACAAAAAATATTGCTGCTGAAGATTCTAGTTTAAGTTAAACATTTAAAAAAAAAAAAGATTTAAAAGCCTGCAGGTTCTGCTAGCATTGGCAGAGATACAATTAGCAAAAATTTAATTTGAATTTAAATGGTTTTGCTGAAAAGGTATTAACCGTTACCTCAGTGAAATACCCAGCTGTTCAAGTGTCAGATTTGTTTCGCTGTGGGACTGCAATCAGTTTCTATTACATTTATTTAGTTAAATTTAAATCCATATTCCCAGTGAAATCAGAGCTGGATAGATACAAGATGCACAGGTCCCGCATAGTCCTGGAGCATGAGGAACATCTCATCTCCATGGACCGGGAAGCCCTTCATCTCCATCCAGTCTAGTGGACAAGCTCAGTGACAGAGGTCTCTCCTTCAGCTGTTTCTCTGTGGCACTAGCTAATTTTCCAACCATCTTTAAATATCTGAGGATGTTTATACTAAGAGAGGGGGCTAAATTAGTTTGGGGGGAGGGAGTCCACTCAATATTCCCCATCATGGGTGGAGGGGATCGTACTTCAGCTGGAAATATAGAAGTGCATGATCTTTAAGCAGAATCTTTATTATTTGCCAAAGAGCAAATGTACAAGGAATTCTTCATGGTACTGGTGTCAATATCAGTCCAATAAAAAGTGTAGAAAAAGATAAAGATATACAAAATATAAGATAAAAATACACCAAATTGACTACATACAAGAAAACTGCAAAAAAAGGGTGTGCAATGTAACAGTGTATCAAGTTAAAGTGCATCTGTGCATACCTGTACAGTGTGTGTACTGCCTGCAACAGTGGAACTGGGGGAGGTTCTTACTCAGAAGGGTTATGCCATGGTACATAGTACATTCAGTGCATGTAAAAAAGTGCATACACAGCACTTCTGAACAATATACAGTAGAGAGTAAAATCAATATGATATGTAAATACTCATTTTGCAATCTGTGTCTTAACTGCCATGTTTACTCCCATTGCTTCCAGTCTGCTGCACCTGGCTTTTTATTATGAATAAGCCATTTACTGGTCATCAGTTGTAGTTTTGCTACAGCTCAGTCTGTTACGAAAAACTAAAGTGAATTCTAGATTAAGGCTAAACACCTTCGGCAAAATTGTGTGAAACTTCCAAATTCCAGCTGTGATTCACATGCCAGGAAGCACAACAGAGGAAGGCAACTTTTATTACGTGCAGGAATGAAATAAGTGTTATGTGCTGTATAGTTTTATGGCAGAGACATGGACATAATGTATGAAATTATAAAACACTGGGTGAATTGGCCATTAAATCAGAGATGATTTGCCGAAGTGCATAATTCAGAGCAGGTTTCAGGATCTTAGCGTTGTGATGCTGGAAACTGGGAGCTTAATGAGCCAGAGTTTAGCTTTATGCTCCTTATCCCCAAAGGAACCGTATGTCCAAACAGCAAAATTCTATTTACCAAGTCTTCTGTACTTTCCTGGGCACTCGGAAAGGTGATCACAGGGATGCTTTCTGTTAGTTTCATGCCATCCAATAATCAATGCCTTTTTATGTTAATTTCAGCCTTACCACATTACTCAACACTAAGTGCTCCTGACCCACAGTATGGAAAAAAACACTTCAGTTACTGTTTTTCAATTTGGCACAATTCCTTCAGCATGTGTTGCATCATTGGAACAATAGCTTCATTTGACATGGTAATGTGGGTCAGTGGATAGTGACTAAAGGGCCATTTATGTGATAAGCAATAGATCGTCAGAGTTGGTGCATGATCTTTAAATTCAGCATTGATTTTTGTGATATTCATTGATTTAAAGTTAAGTACCACAGATGCCTTACCTCTGAATTCCACTTTCTTCTGTTATAAATGCAACAATAGTTCTTGTTTTTTATCCTTGTTATCTCACCAGTTGAATACATAGGAACAAATTAATTTGTAGGCTCATTTTGTAGTCTCAAAACATGGCATTTGATTTGAAACTTTAACTTATGACTGCTTCAAAGGCAGAACAAGGCCTGTACCTTCCTCTTTGACTTCCAATAATAAGATCAGATGCAAAGCTATACAAAGCAAGATTTCAAGAAGCAAGCAACTACTGTTTTCCAAGTAAGATGAAGCTTAGCGTAAAGTCAGCCTCTTCACCAGTCTCCTCGATAGATACAGGGTATTTCTCTGGAAACACAAATGCCAGATGAAAAAAGCACAGTGTATAGCAGGCTAAGTCTCTGTGTCTGTGATCGGAAGTCCTGGTCTCGGTAGAACAGTCACTGTGGGTCCTTGAATGAGGCCATTAACTCATAGCTGTAGGGGTTCTGCATGTTGGCTAAACCTGTGCTCTTACACCTCCCCCCCCAGCTATGGAAAGCAAGATGGGGTAGACAAAGAGAAGAATTCCAATGTACTTGTGCAAGTGGCAAATAAAGGTTTTATCATTTAGATCATATTTGCAGCTTCAGTAAGGCCAGAGTTCTGCCTGCATTCTCAGGAATGTCTAACGGTTCTGACTGTAATAACCTGTGAAGGCATGTCACACCACAACGCATAAAGCTGCCGTGTGCATATGTACTGGGAGCCAATGGTAGGCTGTGAAATGGTCAATTACAGTTTGATCTTCATCACTCCCACAGATGATCTGCCCCGTTGCCAGAAGAGTGTCACCTCCAGGGTCTTTCGTTTCAATGTTTCCTCCATGGAAAGGAACTCCACCAACCTCTTCCGGGCCGAGTTCCGTGTACTCCGAGTTCCCAATGTCCATGCTCAGAGGAATGAGCAAAGAATCGAGCTGTACCAGGTGGGTGTTCCAGGTGCTTAAACAGAAAGTATGAATAATCCATTACCCCTTATGGAGACCTACTCACAATCTATCTCCCATGCAGTATTCCACTAGGGTAAAGCAAAGGAAGATGCATTGAATTTCAGTAGACAAGATGAAAAGAGCATGTAACCTTTTTGTTTTATCCTATTCTCCTTCACATGCATTGAAGAATTATTGGTTCAAGTGCAGCTATAGATCAGATCGTACCAAAAAGGCAGGTATTATTCTGTCACTATAGACAGTTATGAGTCCAAACGTACCACCATGACTTATGGAGTCCCTCAAGGATCAATTAATCTTTTAACTAATTAACCTCTTAATTAACGTTTTTAAGCTTCCACTTGGCCAAATTCTTAGAGACAGCAAGGTAGTTTATTATTGTTATGTGGATGATGGAGTAAATTGGATTATCGTAATGGTCTCCTAACTGGTCCTCCCCCAAAAGTCCTTCAAACAACTTCAACTCCTTCAAAATGCTGAACCCCAAGAAGATAGGACACATTACTGCAGTTCTCCGATCCTTACACTGGCTCCCTGTCTCCTACTGAATCGATTGCAACGTGCTACTTATGGTCTACAAATCACTAAATGGTTTAGCCCCAAATTATATTGCTGATATCTTTGAAGAATATAAGCCTGGTAGGTCTCTTAGATCTTTAGCGACTGGTCACCTAGTAACTAAAGAAACAAATCAGGGTGAGATGGCACTTTCGTTTCGCTGCCAAATGCTGGAACCTACTTCTAGTGAACATTAAAATGCCCCAAATGTTACAACTTAGTTTTAAGCCCTTAATGAAAATGTTTTATTTTCTACTACTTTCAGATAGTAGATACAGCTGGCACTTCTGCACTTTTAATATTTCTTTAAAAATGTTTTATGTTATTTTAATTGTTAATAATCTTTAAGTTTTATATTTATTTATATGCATTTACTTATGTGTATTTTTACTTTATGCACTTTGAATGACCTTTGTGTATGAAAATGCACTACACAAATAAATGTGACCCGACTTACTGAATATGGAAGAAATGACAGGCAGTAAATAGTAATATTTGAATGACAACAATATACAATTTGTCTTTTTGCTCATAGCAGAATGGACACAAAGTACTATTTGCTCAGAGGTGTTTATGTTAGGGAGCTTAAATTGATCACATGGAAAAAGGAATCTACCTGCTTAGATCTTGGATTCAATTCAAATATATATATATATATATTTAATATAGTGCATTTTACAACAGAATCACCTCAAGGTGCTTTACATGGGTGTGTTGAGATACAGTGTAACATCATAAAGAGAGAACAGTACAAAAACAGGGAAACTGAAAGTCAAAGAAATGATCATCTGCACAAAATTTTGGTGATGGAAGGAACTTAATACTAGACCTGGCAGCAATAACAGCAGCAGTTCACTGTCAGTCTATCCTGTACTAACCCTAACCCTAACCCTAACCCTATCCTGTACTAACCCTAACCCTAACCCTATCCTGTACTAACCCTAACCCTAACCCTATCCTGTACTAACCCTAACCCTAACCCT